GTGTGTGTGTTGGGGGGGTTTGGGCTGTGTGTGTGGGGGGGTGTTGGGGGCTGTGTGTGTGGGGGGTGTTGGGGGCTGTGTGTGTGTGGGGGGTGTTGGGGGCTGTGTGTGTGTTGGTGGGGGTGGGGGGGGCTGTGTGTGTGTGGGGGGGGTGTTGGGGGCTGTGGTGGGGGCTTGTGTGGGGGGGTGTTGGGGGCTGTGTGTGTGGGGGGGGGGTGTTGGGGCTGTGTGTGTGTTGGGGGGGGTGTTGGGGGCTGTGTGTGTGGGGGAGGGTGTTGGGGGCTTGGTGGGGGCTGTGTGTGGGGGGGTGTTGGGGGGCTGTGTGTGTTGGGGGGGGTGTTGGGGGCTGTTGTGTGGGGGGGGGGTGTTGGGGGCTGTGTGTGTGTGGGGGGCGGGGCTGTGGGGGAGGGGGCGGGGCTGTGGGGGGGCGGGCTGTGGGAGCTGTGTTGGGGCTGTGGGGAGGGGCGGGGTTGTGTGTGTGTGGGGGGGGGGGGCGGGGCTGTGTGTGTGTGGGGGGGCGGGCTGTGGGAGCTGTGTTGGGCTGTGTGTGGTGGGGGCGGGGCTATGAGATCTCGCGATAGTTTGGTTCGCGGCGGCCGCAGTGATGTCACGTGTTAGTCGTTCCGCATATCGCGATATGAGCGGCTGCTGTGGTTACTGTGGAGACACCGAGAGGGTGAGACCCGGTAACACTGGGAGAGGGGGGGAGGGGGAGAGAGGGAGGGAGGGAGAGGAGGGGGTGAGAGAGTGAGAGGGTGAGAGTGAGAGGGTGAGAGAGAGAGAGAGTGAGTGAGAGGGTATGAGAGAGAGAGTGAGAGACTGTATATTTGTGGGCGAACGCGGTAGCCAATTGCGCACAGCAATGTCCCACAAACAGTCGTAGATTGAAAATGACCAATTTATTATTGTTTTTGGTTTTTTTGGAGGGATTATTATTAGGCTCTGTGTGGAGTAAGGAAACTTGCCCAAGGTTTCGCCCTCTGCCTGGAATTGAACTCAGGTCTCTCACTTGCAAAGCGAGTGCTCTAACCACTGAGCTACAGGACTCCATGTTAGACTCCATCTGCCACCTTCTTGCCCACTCACCCACTCGGTCTATTTCCCTTTGCATTCTTCATGTGTCATCCTCACAGTTTACTGTCCCACCTATCTTCGTATCATTGTGGAGTCCTGTAGCTCAGTAGTTAGAGCACTCGCTTTGCAAGTGAGAGACCTGAGTTCAATTCCAGGCAGAGGGCGAAACCTTGGGCAAGTTTCCTTACTCCACACAGAGCCTAATAATAATCCCTCCAAAACCAAAAACAATAATAAATTGGTCATTTTCAATCTACGACTGTTTGTGGGACATTGCTGTGCGCAATTGGCTGCCGCGTTCGCCCACAAATATACAGTCAATTCACTTTACAGTGTGTTCTGTGAAGCGCTTTGGGACGTCCTCCCGACGTGAAAAGCGCTATATCAAATGCAAAGATTATTATCATTATAACGTGGGGAAGTGTGAAGTTATTCACCTCGGTAGTAAAAATAGAAAAGTGGATTATTTTCTAGAGGGGGAGAGACAAGTTCAGAGGGATTTGGGTGTACTTGTACACCAGTCACAGAAACTTAGTATGGAGGTACAGTAAGCAACTAGGAAGCTAATGCCATTTTGGCGTTCGTTGCAAAACGGTTAGAGTACAAAAGTAGGGAAATCTTGCTGCAGTTATATAAGGCCTTGGTGAGACCGCACCTAGAATACTGTGTGCAGTTTTGGTCTCCTTATTTAAGAAAGGACATACTCGCCTTAGAGGGGGTGAAGCGTAGATTCGCGAGGTTGGTTCCTGGGATGAGGGGGTTGACCAATGAGGATAGGCTGAGTACACTAGGCCTATACTCTCAAGAATATAGAAGAATTAGAGGTGATCTTATAGAAACCTATAAGATTCTTAAGGGTCTTGACAGGATAGATAGTGAGAGACTGTTTTCCCTGGTTGGAGAATCTAAAACTAGGGGTCATAGTCTCAAGATTAAGGGTCAGCCTTTTCGAACTGAGCTGAAGAAACATTTCTTCACTCAGAGGGTAGTGAATTTGTGGAATTCTCTACCCCAGAAGGCTGTGGATGCTCAGTCCTTGAACATATTCAAGACTGAGGTTGATAGATTTCTAAAGGATAGAGGGATTAAGGGATATGGGGATAGGGCGGGTAAATGGAATTAGGTTAGAAGATCAGTCATGATATTATTAAATGGCGGGGCAGGCTCGAGGGGCCAAATGGCCTACTCCTGCCCCTACGTCTTATGGAGAGAGAGGGACAGGTGTGTGTGTGTGAGAGAACGTTTTTGTGTGTGTGTGTGAGAGAGAATGTTTATTATTATTAACGTGAGGGAGGGAGGGTGAGTGTGAGAGAAAGAGGGTGAGAGAGAGAGAGAGAGTGGGTGTTTGTGATAGAGAGAGAAAGGGTGAGTATGAGAGAAAGAGGGTGAGTGAGAAATATGCATAGATGGTGCGAGAGAATGAGTGTATGAAAGAGGGTGCGTGTGTGAGAGAGAAATACAGATGCTGAGAGAGAGAGGGTGAGTGTATGAGAGAGGGTGAGTGTGAGAGAGAAGGTGAGAGCGAGAGAGAGATACAGATGCTGAGTGTATGAGAGAGAGAAAGGGTGAGTGTGTGTGAGAGAGAGGATGAGAGAGAAGATAGAGTGTGTGTGACGGTTATATAGAGAGATTGTGTGTGTGCGAGAGAGAGACAGAATATAGAGAGAGCACAGAGGATGCTCTGAGTGGAGGATGGATGGATGGGAGGATGGATGGGATTGCCTTGAGACATCCTCCTGGCCTGAAAGACACTATACAAATGTAATTTGTTGTTGTGGAGTGAGTAGGTGGTGGAAAGGGGATTGTGAGAGACACTCTTAAGACTGGATAATAACAGAGACAGTCAGTTGGCTGCTTTTGTGGAAGTGGGTATGACAGCGAGAGATATTTGGTTAAAAATACAGATCTGTGTATGGTATATATCTGGCTTGACTTACTGAACCTAGGCATCAGGTTTGACCGATGGCTGTCTTTCCTTACCCGCATCCGGTCCCTGACCAGGACCACCTTCCTCCACCTCCCACATTGCCTGCTCCGACCATACCTTACCCCAGACGCAGATGAAACACTCATCCATGCATTCGTCACCTCCCGATTTGACTTCTCAAACGCCCGCTTTGCCAGTCTCTCCAGCTCCACCGTGCACAGGATCCAGCTGATCCAAAACTCTGCCGCCCGCATACTCACCGGCACTAAACTCTGTAACCCCATCACACCAGTTCTAGCCAGGCTCCACTGGCTCCCTATCACCGAATGGATCGATTTCAAGATCCTCACACTCGTTTTCAAATCCCTTCATGCCCTGGCACCTCCCTATTTCTCCGACCTGCCCAACCGACAACCTGCTGCCTCCACTCGACTGGCTCCAGCCTTCTACATGTCCCTCTACTGTTCCTCTACTGGTGAATGCGCTTTCAGGCACTACACCACAAAATTCTGGAACACTCTTTCTCTATCTCTCCAAATTGCCTCTTCCTTCCCCATCTTCAGGTCACGCATGAAGACCTTCCTATTCGATCGCGCCTACGGTCACCTTCCCCGGCTCGGTGACGTGCTACACTGTGTGAGGGGCGCTGTATAAATGAAAGTTGTTGTTATATACAGTGTCACACAGGGTATATAGAGAAAGATGTACAAGGAGACGTACACAAAGGAAAGAGATGAAGTGGTCTGAGACACAGACACACACAGAGGACGGAATGGAGATAGAAAGGAAGAACACATTTGTGGTTGAGAGTAGTGCAGAGATAGAGGGGACAATGAAGTGATAGATGGAGAGGGGGGAGAATCAAAAGGAGTGTGAGACTGAAGGAGGATAGAGAAGATAGGAGAAGATGTGGGAAGAGTGAGAAAGGGACATGCAGAAATGGACATGAAGAGAGAGAGAGAACAAGGCAGAGAAATAATTGAGTGTAGGTAATTGAGATTTCACATTGGCTCCTAGGTGACACGCCTGATAATGGAGTGTTGAAATTCATTTGATCTTTCTGTGGTGGTCTCAGTAGTCCTGGTTACCTGAGTCAGGTAGGTTTGCAGAACTCCAGGGCACCGTTGATGACAGTCCGGTTCATTAGCAGGGCTCGGAGGAACAGATCGGTCACAGGGACGTACAGGTGGGGTACTCTAGCAGTATTCTAACACACTCTTGTGTCTGCATGACATGGGTCTTGCCAGTTTGCACCTAATACTTCCCAAGATTAGGTCGGTGAGCAGGGAGGGTCCCTTCAGGGAGAGAGTGTGCACTTCATTCCTCATAAAGGAAAATTTCCATACATAAGTGGAACAGTTGGTAGTTTGGTTTGGATACTTCTAAGCATGGCAACAGAAGTATGTCAAGCACCCAATCTGACTAAATAAAATTGCATTTCGCCCGCTGGATATTTGTGGGTGCTTTCCAATGATTGATCTAATATTTACATTTTGTGACACTTGAGAATCTGAGAGTTATACCTCTCCCGTATCCTATAAGAAAATGAACCAGGCTCCTTCATCCAAATAATTTCTTTGGTCACCTGGGTGACTGATATGCAGAAACCCATCATCATGCTTAAGAGTATCCAAACCGGCTGAGAGTTTCACATATGTATGCCACCTACACATGGAAATGTCCCTGTGTCGGATGGAATGGGCACTTTCCCTCGATGAATGCACCTTGCTTACCTAAAACCATAGAGTATTAGGTGCAGGTTGGCAAGAACCAAGGCTTCAAATCCCAAAGTGTATGTTGAGGACTACTGTTTTTTTCCATCCCGCGGTCCCTCCGCTTCGCCCTCTCCCTTGCCACCTTCAAGACCCATCTCAAGACCCTTCTCTTTGACCGTACTTTTGATCTCTCTGCTTCTCTCCCTGCCCTCCCCCACTTCCAGCTTGGGTCCGTACCTCTGTCTGTCCAGTGCCTTGGGACATCTTCCCGACGTGAGGGGCGCTGTACAAATGTAATTTTGTTTTTGTTGTTTTGTTTTCCCTCCCCATTTTCAGTCCATGCCTGAAGACCTTCCTCATTGACTGTGCTATGGTCACCTCCTCCCTCCCCCCGAGCTTGATGTTGGGTTCTACCACTGGAAGTGCTCCCAAGACGCTACCCCTCATGAAAGGCGCTATATAAATGCAAGTTGGTTTTTAACAAGTTAAAACTGCACAGCTGGGCATCAAGAGCACTGTATGGCAAGTGACATTGCCATGTATATATATATGTATATAACATTGCTTATCCAGCTGGGACCACATCATTATAAATATATAATTTTATATAATTTTATCCACCGTACACATTAATGTTTTGGCTTGAAGGGTTAACGGGAGCTGAGTGGGAAGAATCCCTCCCCCTCTCAAGCCCCAAGCCGACGAGCCAGGTTGGCTGGTCCACCAGCAGTGCCCAAATATTGAGCATTTACAATAAAATGTTGACATTTGCTAGTGAAGTGTCACTGATGGTTTCAAACTGGCAAAGTGAGTTAAAGATTTGTTTTGTAGGGAACAAATCGAACTTTATATTGAATGCTTTTCGGAGTTGTGATTTTGTGTTTTTTTTGTTGGGATCTCAGAAAGTTAGAGGATGTTAAAGATGGAAGCAGTGGGTTGGTCTGGTAATATTTGAAATGTAAGAGGAGAATATAACTGTTCATAGTTGGATGTTCTCTTTTGTTTTCCTAGTTCTCACAAGAGAAACTACATGAAGACCAATGCCCAGAATCAATAAGACCATCGTATTGACCCTTCTCATTGTGACCAGTTCAGTTTTTCTATTATTTCAGCTTTACTACTATAAACAATATTTTGTATCAAAGGTACGTATTATACTGTCAATTTTTGCCTTTGCCTTTGCCAAGCGCTCTGAGACGCTGTCCGGCGTGGAGGGCGCTATATAAATCCGAGTTGTTGTTGTCGTTAAGTTGTTGTTTGTCACTTGTGACACTATCATGCGATAGCCTTTTTCAAAAATAAATGTTATTTTTAGTGGTTCAACAAAATGGCTGTTTTCTACCGAAAAATAATTATAATCCTTGCATCTGATAATAGTGCCTTATCACGTCATCGGGACGACTCCAAGCACTTCACAGAATATACTGTAAAATTGATTGACTATATTTTATGGGCAAAATGAAAGGGTTTCTAAGTTTTACTAATTTCCATCTGGCTGAAAAGCTATGTATCTTAAAAGCTATGCATTTTTAAACGGTAGGACTAATATGGGGAAACCCCTTATAGCACATTTTGATAAACCTCTGCCTCACTTAACCTCTGCAGGTCTACTGCGTCCCTGCCCTAACCAGAAGTGCAGTACACCTGGATAGTTGGCTTTCTGTGCTAAAAACAGCTGGCTTTTAGTTGTTGTTGACGACGCTTCTTGTGGGGTAGGAGCATGTCTGATGTCACTTTATACATGCTGCGCTTTTGCATAGATTAATACAGTGTTTCTTGCCCATAACATGCAGAAAGTGACGTCAGCGATTCTTTGTGCATATAGAGCGCATGTGTTCAACACCCAGAAAAGAACATCATCGGTGGTCGGGCCTTCAGCCTCTCAGCCCCGAGGCTCTGGAACTCCATCCCCCAGTGCCTTCGCCGCCTCCTCCCTTTCCTCCTTCAAGGCCGGTCTCAAAACCTTTCTCTTTGACCGAGCCTTCAGCTCCCCTCTCGACTCTCTTCCCCCTCCTCGCTCCCTCCCTCCCCTCACCCTGACCATTTCCCCCCTCCTCGGGTCATGACCCAACTGTGCAGCGCCTTGGGACGTCCTCCTGACGTGAAAGGCGCTTTATAAATGGAATCTTGTTGTTGTTGTTGTTGTTGCTGCCAGGAAGTTGGCCTTTTTTTTAAGTTTCTTTGTAACATGGTTGCTATACTATTGGTCCGAGCCAGGTGTGCTGAAACAAAGTTCCTCTGTGGTAGGAATAGCACTAATTTGCTAGGACATGAGTTAAATTTAGTTTAAAGATTGCTGTATGTTGTCCTGGTTGTAGGAGGGATCAGCATAACTAAACGGTACATCATTTTGAATAAAATGAATTTGCCCTATTATGGAAATGTACTCAGCAGTGGTCAGATATTTTTTCCTTACAGAGAAGAAATCACTGAAGAGTCAGTCTTGCAAACAGCACCACTAAGAAAGCATGGCACTTTTCCACCCTTGTGGCCTGATACGATACTCAGTATAGGAAATAACAAAGAGAGAGGGAGATTTTTCAAAACAATTTGATGATAAAATTATGTTTATAATTCAGAGTCCGTTCATTACCCTGCCTTTTCATTCAGTTTATGATTTGTGACTTATCACAACTGTACCTTTGATTTTTACATAGGAAGGTAGAAAATAACAGCACAATTTTGAATGTGCATACTACAATAGTTCAAAATACCATTGTTCTCAGATGCAGGACTTGAAGCAAAACAGTATATGTGGCATAAACCAATAATAAATATGACGCAAACCACGGTGCTAGAATTATTTCTGCCACTAGAGACTGCTGTGGGATACATATTGGTCACCGAAAGCCTCAAGAGTACCAGTTGTCAAATACTGAAAAAGTATAGGGCCAAAAGGATGTGTATATTTTACCCTAGTACCTCAGCATTTGACACTTTTGGTCCCTGTATTGCTATGGTATCTGTTTAGATCTATCAAATTTGGTAATTTGTGTACCACTTGTTTTTCTTTAGAATGGGTCCAATCTTTCTGATTTGAAAGCAAGTTACGATGTGGAAGACAGTGTGCACTGGGTATGTATACCATTCAAAACTGTACTATGTTTCTCCTTTACAGGAAGAATTTTAAGAACTAAAAATAAAATTTGTAAGGCATTTTTAGTGGAAACTAGTTCTAAGATTTTAAATTAAACTCATCACAAAATCTTAGATACAAGCCCAGCACATGCTATCTGCTGTCCTCATGGTGTGCATATCCGGGTGATGATAGTACATCTAACCCTGTTGATGCCATGGTAATGGAAATCCTGGTTCATATTAGAAGTGATCTGTCTATAAATTGTAGAAAATACTATATTTGAAACAGAACAAATACCAAGTAAGTATGTATATGGATTGTCTCCTTAATATCAAATGCAAGGATTATTATTTTATTATAATGTTGAAGCACACACTTCATGGGCTGTGTGCATTGAACATTAAAATCTATATTTTCTTTGAGTCCACGTGATAGCAAAATGGGCAATATAAGTGCAGAATGCACATCACTGTAAAGGCAGCTTTACTTCTGGCAGTATAAACCCTGCATAACAGATCTATAATCTTAATATTGTACTACATTGCTGGCAGTGTTATCCGAGCACAGTACTCAAAATCAAATGGAATTAGCACAAGATCATTTAAGATATAGAAAAAATAAAGCGTTTGTGTGTTTTGACTGGAAAATATTAAAGCAAACATGACTAGATGTTAAAAAAGGGATGAAGGGAAATGATGGGGCAGATGCAGAGAAGCATTTGTATACCAGGAGACAAGATTGCATTGCTAAGGAAGACATGACCTAAAGGTATTTTAAAGAGTCTTCATACTGGAGTTATAGTAGACTGGTACAGTGAATAATAAGTATTACAAAAAAATGGATTTCTTTGAGAATCCAAAAGAGTATTAAAAAATAATTAGTTCTGGTCGTGAGATAGAAGTTGATGTAGTGAAAAGTAAGATAAATAACTCGAGAGAAGAGGTGCTGGACTTCTGCTTTTTTTCCCAGCATTCGTATAACAAGCAGAGTGCCACTCATTCCTTTGTCTGTGTTAAGGTAATTGTCTATCAATCCTGTGTGCATTTCTGTTAATTTAAAACAAAGCCCAACTATATTTATTGCAGAATTATACAGTGTATCTTCATTTGATTTTTAATGCACAATAGTGTGTTTAATCTATTTATTCTTACCAGAAAGTGGTCAAAAAGTTCCTCAAAATGGTCTCTATCCAAAATGTTCCTTTATATCTCATTGATCCTTTGGTTTTGGGACGGCTGAATGAAAATCAACGTCAGCAAAGTACGAGCAGCAGTGGGCTGAAGTGCAAATACCTGTGCTTTCCCAGAGAGTTTACTACATTTGCACTCTTGGATAAATTTTGGAAAAACAATGTAAGTACAGTTTTATAGGTGTTGTCTAATAAAATTCCTACATGAACCAAGAACTTAACTTTAACTCTTATCAAACTGTTTCCCATTGTATGTTGTATGTAATTGCTATTCTACTTAAAAAAGTTTCCCCTTTTTAAAAATGCAGTGGAGAATCGCTGCCGTCCTTCGGATGAGACGTTAAACCGAGGTCCTATCTGCCTGTTCAGGTGGATGTTAATTGCACTATTTGCGAAGCGAAGGGAGTTTCTCCTGGTGTACTGGCCAACAATCTTCCAAATAAGATTGGTAACTCCCTGGCTGTGTGTGGAACATTGCTATGCACAGACTAGCTGTCCTGTTTTGCGAACAAATACACAGTTGATCTGTTTTACAGTAAATCCTGTGAAGCATTTTGAGACGTCTCAATGATGTGATGAGGCACAATATCAACTGCAAATATTATTACTATTATTATTCTTAGTGTATAAAGATAGCCAATACTCTAGCCTGTTTTCTCCTTAAATGAAAATGTGTATATACAATTTCACATATAGAGGACATATTTCTTATGAGTTAGAAATGTGTTCACTTGGGCCATGTATATTTTTTCACAAGTGCTTTTTACCTAATTGATCACCATGGTTTTTTATATTTAATATTTTGTCTATTCCAAATTGTTATTTTGCTTTCAATCCTTTAAGGCATCCCTAAAGAAAGCAGCCGAGAAGGAAGGATTTGAGTGGATGGAGCTGCATGGGAAGGATCCACGCCTAGCAGGAATGGATGGTCTTTCTGGCACAGAAATTCCACTGCATTGCATCTTTAAGATGCAGAATCATGCCATCCACCTTGTGGTATTTTATGAGCGGAGTGGGAACTACCTTTGGCATGGGCAACTACGGCTCAAACAAAATGCAGACAGAAAATTTGTGCCTTTTCGAAAGCTCCATTTTGGACATCACCCGGGAGCCTATGACAAGTAAGTGGAAAGAAACTATTTCAGACATTTAATGAAGACATAGGGTTTGTGATCTGTTGTCAGAAATTAGATGTAATGCCTGTAATCTTTGTTTCATTCATAATCTTGTTTAGACCATAAGGTCTAAAACTGGGCTATTAATAAAATCTCTGATTCACAAATAGGGATTCCATCTGGTAATTGGAAGTAAATTATACTGATCTGTGGGAACTGTTCCCCAAAAGTAGACTACATTGATGTTAGGGTCTTGTGGGTTGGCATGAGGTATGTGACGTTCACTGCAGGAGATGCACTTTACATCCCCAGGTGCCATTTAGGTTGCTGTTTTTGAGGGAACAGACAAAATTCTATTCATTAGGTTAAATATATTTTTAGAAATACTATTTAAATACTGTAATTTTAAAATTTGAAGAACGGTGGAGTCCTGTAGCTCAGTGGTTAGAGCACTCGCTTTGCAAGTGAGAGACCTGAGTTCAATTCCAGGCAGAGGGCGAAACCTTGGGCAAGTTTCCTTACTTCACACAGAGCCTAATAATAATCCCTCCAAAACCAAAAACAATAATAAATTGATCATTTTCAATCTACGACTGTTTGTGGGACATTGCTGTGCGCAATTGGCTGCCGCGTTCGTCCACAAATATACAGTCAATTCACTTTACAGTGTGTTCTGTGAAGCATTTGGGACCTCCTCCTGACGTGAGAAGCGCTGTATCAAATGCAAGGATTAATATTATTATTATTATTATTAACAGAGAGAAACTAAAGACAATGCAGTAAAACTAATAAGGTTATTTCCTCTGACGCACATCAAGAAATTTGCATCAGGAACTCTGTAACTTGTGTCGTCTCCCACCCTGGGCTCTGAGAGCCTATCACCGCCATCCTCACCCAGCTCCACTAGCTCCCTGTCTCCCAGAGGAACGAGTTCAAGATCCTCTTTTAAATCCCTCCACGATCTTACCCCACTGTAACTTTGTGACCTGCTGAAAGGCTATCAACGCCCAGCCCCCAACCTTCCCTCTGGTCAGCAGTCACTGGCCTGTTTGCTGTCTCCCGCCCTGACCGTTCCACTACATGTGGTCGGACTTTCAGCTTGTTTGCCACTACTCACCGGAACTCCATCTGGAGTCCCTTCACCTTGCCCCATCCCTCGACTCATTCAATGTCTGTCTCAAGACCTTTCTCATTAACTGTGCCTTCGGTTTTTTATCTACCCCCCACACCCAACCCTTATTTGCTTGGCCTCCATCCCTCCCAAACTCAACACCCAGCTTGGGTGAAAACCTGGGCCTCTCCAGCACCTTGGGACGTCCTCCTGACGTGAAGGGTGCTGTACAAATGCAATTTGTTGTTGTTGTAATGACCTAATGAATCACACATGAACAAATGTTGTTATGCCCTCCATTTGGTTGTGGCACCGTAAGATGTATTTTTTTTGCTTCTCCTTTTCCTTTTTTGGCTTTTTTCTTCTCTATGGCTATCAAGTATCAGCACCTCGGGACGTCCTTCATGAAAAGCACTGTATAAATATAATTTGTTGTTATTTCTATAACTGCGTAATACAATGTCATTCTTTATTCCTAACAGGGAAGGGAACATTCTGTGTTGTGCTAATATTAAATGTTTTACAGACCAGAGCTGCGTCTAGCTTCAATTGATGGATTAGAAATTCACATTCCTAAGAAAATAACCCATTTTTTGGATGAAGTTTCTCAGTCCAAGTTTATTGAGTGCAGATATAAAGAAGCTCGAGCATTTTATCAGGTTAGTCTCTAGCTATCAAGTATTTTTTACAAACAAATGATTAATCAGCAGAATAATGAAAATAGAATAGTTACTGACGTGTCAGTATATGCTTTTATACTGGGTCTCCAGTTCACTGCAAGTGATGCTCAAGTGGTGGCTGTGACATTTCACATTGCACGAACCAGCCGTAGCCATTACATTTCAGTGTCCAAGAGGTCCAGGGTTATGTTAACCTAAATGCGTGAAACTAGGTTTTTTTTTACTGCCTAAATCCAGTGCTAGTCATGGAGGCCAAAAGCTGAGCTTGAGCAGCAGATCTCTGGTTCTTCTACCTTTTATTGGGTACTGCAATAAGGAAAAAATAATCCCTGGATCATCTGCACTTTGAACGGAGCTCAGTGGGATTAGCCCAGTGGAATTCACTGCAAATCACATTTATACTGATCGGTGTGAATTGGACTGCTCTTGAAGCCAGAATTTAGTGGTTTGATTTATAGTGTCTGAGTCCCATTCATGTTACACATTTGGTGGTGGAGTCTTCTGGCTCAGTGCAAAAGGTGGAGTGTGACTCCGTATTAAATAGAATGCTTCCTTTATATGCACCTTATTCTTAAAAAAAGTCCAGCTTTGTCCAATTGTATGACTTCCATACTCCTATTTTACTATAACCTTAATTTGGTTTATTATTGTCACTAGAATTGTATGTTTTTTGTTGATTTATTTGGCACTGAATCTTGGTGCATCCCAATATTATGTGCTTTCTTTGGTGTTTGATGACTTTGCATTCTAGGCCTGAAGTACTATTTGCATTTGTAAAAGCTATTTGTGAATTGCAGGAGGTATATTTATATCCTGCGTATGATTATTTTTTCACTGTAGCTTTACCCTGATGACACATCTCAAGAAGCCACAGAGTTTCGTAAAAAGGCTAAGAATTTGCTTCAGTTGGCTGTTAAAACATTAAATGGCCTCAGGATACCGTTCTGGCTCAGCAGTGGAACTTGTTTGGGTGAAGTACACAAATCCACATTTGTACATATTCCTTCTGAATTGTTCATGTTTACCGAAAAATGCACAACTATACAATAAGTGTGTTGCGGGCTTTGATAAAAGAGAACTGTAGTGTTTGGAGCGCCACATTTAGTGTGTGAGCAGTTTGTCTCAGTCTCTGGACAAGTTATTGCTGTGTTCAAAGATCAAGTACTAACAACAACAAATGTGAACAGAGACTGTAGGGAACTGAAATCAGTAATTTGACTATATGGATGAGAAAAATTGATTTAAAAACTTATTTTTTCTAATAGCACTTACGTTAGTGTGGGAGGTGGGCGGTTATGTGCATTTTGAGAAACATGAGATGCATGGCTATTTGAAGTAGTGGGTACTTATGTCTGTAGAGGGATATCAATGGAGACTCCAAAGAAAAGGTTAGATAAAATACACTGGAGTGGAATTGACATGCCAAAGGGAAAGAGTAGAAGGGCAAAAGACAAAGACGTGAACACAGGTAACGAGGTAAAAAGGTTAGAGTTGAAGAAAATACTTACAATCAACATATCTAGCAGGATTAGGGAATGTGGTTTTCAATGTGTTGAGTTTTTTGCGTCTGCATGCCTTCCAGAGTGGGTCCAGCAATAATCCACTGCAAATTAAACCACCCATATTATCCATCTACGAGCTATTCCACCAGTTTTGTATTGTTCTAAGTATCACCATTGGTTTCATAGTACTTGACATTTAGTGATTCAGTAGAGCAATAGTAACTGTGCTGTCCTAAGTTCTCATCTCTGCCTTTTTAGGGTGGTTCAGACAATGTAGTATCATCCCCTACAGCAAAGATGTGGACCTGGGAATTTTATGTCCAGTCCCTTTGTGTGGGTCAAGCTGACAGCACAGGCCCACTATCACCATCAGAATCTTCATGATTCCCTTTTACCTCAGCCGCCAAATCAATCCTTTCAACTAATATTAGTATCTGTAATTACAGCACATCATTACCAATAATATCATGATTAACATAAACAGTATGGCCACAGAAATTTTTAATATTAGTTCAGTGGGTGTTCCCTCTATCCTTCCCTACTGGCTTTGAATATTGCTGAAATACTGAAACAGACAATCTCCCATTTCTTTAAACACTTTAGTTGGTTAATATCATCGTTGGTGACCATCACGTGGGGTGGAAATAGAAATTTTATCTATTCGTGCTACTGCTTCAAAATGCTTGCACTACTAGTTTTACCAGGGATTCATTTGTACCTTGGACATGATCATTAGCTGCAAAAGCAGCCAATTTGTAAGTAATTTGGTCATAGTACAGTTATCACGGTATAAGGTTTATTATAGCAAACACAATTATAGTCAGAAAAACCAATAGTAATATAATAATAATAATAATCCTTGCATTTGATATAGCGCTTTTCACGTCGGGAGGACGTCCCAAAGCGCTTCACAGAACACACTGTAAAGTGAATTGACTGTATATTTGTGGGCGAACGCGGCAGCCAATTGCGCACAGCAATGTCCCACAAACAGTCGTAGATTGAAAATGACCAATTTATTATTGTTTTGTTTTTTTGGAGGGATTATTATTAGGCTCTGTGTGGAGTAAGGAAACTTGCCCAAGGTTTCGCCCTGACCTGGAATTGAACTCAGGTCTCTCACTTGCAAAGCGAGTGCTCTAACCACTGAGCTACAGGACTCCACGTGTATCTAATACATAATGAAACAACAATATTTATAAAACAGTGAACAGCAAAAACATATCAAATAGCAATACAATGATAATGAAATAATAATGTATACAACGCTAAAGTACCTCCCAGACTCGAACTGGCAAGCAATGAGAGATAACAATGAAGAAAGACAATAAAACAAAATTGAGTAAACGGGTTTCCAGACTTGAACTGGCTCAAACCACTGGACTCACGACAAACTGTAACACTTTTCCAGACTTGAACTGGAGATCTAGCAAAACCCAGTTTGCAAGTGGTGAAGCAATAACTTTTCCAGACTTGACCTGGAGAACAGTAAAACAACAAATCCCCCAACACACACATTTGTTATCTTAGAGCGGTTTACCCTATGGGTTCCCGGCCTGATCAACCGATCACAATGACTCGGGATACACGCCCTCCTGGCTGGCTCGTCAATTTGTTAATAATTCGACAGGCGGTGGTAAGAGTATAGTGTTTATCTTATAAAAGAAACAGTAAAGCTCACGATCTATAATTAACTTTATGACATACAACACAATAATAATACAACACAGATATACGAAACAAACATGATTCCAGACACTGCTCCGTACTCCAGACCAAACAGTAGTACTGACAATACAGGGACGACAGTATCCAGGCACTGTTTCGTACTCCAGGCTAAACAGTAGGCCTGGGATCACACCTTGACATACACTGGAGAGATCAGCCCCTGGACATACCCCTCAGACAACTGACACTCGTAATACCAACATTAAACAGGGACTGGGGTTCGGTACACCCTCAGACCCAACCAGTCATACACAACAATATTCAACCGACAATGGTACACAAAATTGCAGAGAGTGGCTCCGGTAAACTCAACAGACATAACTAGCTATTAGCCCAGGACCTAACTCGTACTGCCTAAACTGACTTCTGGGTTACCCTGGACCAACCACTATTACTGTTATTACTTCTCTGCCTAGCAAACAGAACCAAAACCATATTACCCGCTATTCCGCCTCTTATTTTTAATGATCACTTTCTTCCTGGAGCTAAATTCCCTCACCCCTGTACGTATACATAGATACATTAGAGTTGACATCAATTCCACTGGGAAGTGTGCTGACCCTCTACACAACTCCCAACTATTTCAAAGTTACATCTTTTATGTATTTCTAACTCCATCTCCCCTTGTCACAGAGATAGCCCCCAGCCTTCGCAGGCTGCTTTGCAGAGGGAGACATATGGACAACTTCTGGACAGCCTTCCACAGTCTGCTTGTTTCCCAGCCTTGTGATAGGCAGGTGTCTGAGACTGCAGCCTTTTCTTTCTGTGGTCCTTTATTCTTACATCTATGCTCATTATCTCAGCGGAGTGAATATCTTCCCAGGAAAATATGAAATGTAATCAGAAGCTAACCTCAACCCATCCAGCAAAGCTACTTTTAACCATTTAACTATCAAACCTTCTGGAACATTCGGTTGCTGTTTGAAATATACCAATGTATCCCTTCAGTCGGGTTTCCGTGCTGCTCATAGCACAGAAACTGCCCTGGTCAAGGTCACCAATGACATCCTGACCATCTGCGACCAGGGCTCCCTCTGCCTCCTCGTCCTCCTCGACCTATCGGCAGCATTCGATACGGTCGACCACGCTATCCTCCTCCACCGCTTGTCCTCCCACCTCAACCTTCAAGGCCCTGTCCTTGAGTGGTTTAGGTCGTACCTCTCCCACCGTCTTCACTTTGTTTCCACAAACGGCTTTTCCTCCGGCCCCCGCACTGTCTCGTGCGGTATCCCTCAGGGCTCTGTCCTCGGTCCCCTCCTCTTCACCCTCTATATGCTCCCCCTTGGTGACATCATCCACAGACATGGGGTTAACTTCCACATGTATGCGGATGACACCCAACTCTACCTTTCCTCTTCTACCCTCAACTCCACGACCACCGATGTCCTGACAGCCTGCCTGTCCGACATGGAGTCCTGGACGAGAGACAACTTTCTTCAGCTCAACGTGCGTAAAACTGAGGCCCTCCTGATTGGCTCACGTCAGCGCCTCCGCACCTCAGGCGCTGACACCATCAGCATCCAAGGCTGCACTCTCCACCTCTCAAAGCCAGTCAGGAACCTCGATGCTCTGTTCGACCCTGAGCTGTCCTTTCTCCCTCACATCCGCACCACAACTGGCACCGCCTTCCATCACCTCCGGAACATCGCCAGACTACGGCACTACCTCACCCCTCACGCTGCTGAAACTCTGGTCCACGCCTTTATCACCTCAAGGCTGGATTATGGGAACTCTCTCCTCGCCGGCCTTCCCGGGACCTCCCTCCACAAGCTGCAGGTCATTCAGAACTCTGCAGCTCGTGCACTGTCCCGCACCAGGACCACATCACTCCCACCCTCGCTCGCCTCCACTGGCTCCCCATCCCCCAGAGGATCGAATTCAAGATCCTCATCCTCACCTACAAGGCCATTCACGGCCTTGCTCCCTCCTACCTCTCTGACCTACTATCCCCCTACCTACCTGCCCGTACCCTCCGTTCCTCTGGCTCCGGTCTGCTCCACATCCCCCGCCCCAACCGCCCTACCATCGGTGGCCGGGCCTTCAGCCCCTATGCTCTGGAACTCTATACCCCAGTGCCTTTGCCTTGCTTCCTCCCTTTCCTCTTTCAAGGCCGGTCTCTTGACCTTTCTCTTTGACCGAGCCTTCAGCTCCCCTCTCGACTCTCTACCCCCTCTTCGCTCCCTCCCTTCCCTCCCCACGACCATTTCCCCCTTGCTCGGGTCCTGACCCAACTGTACAGCACCTTGGTACATTGCAGGTGGAAGACAGCCTGGAGCTTTCCTCCCGACGTGAAAGGCGCTCTATAAATGGAATCTTGTTGTTGTTGTTGTTGATAGTCAATGTATTTCAACAGTGGAGCAATAGCAACTGCTGTCCTAAATTCTCATCTCTGCCTTGTTTAGGGTGGTTCAGACAATGCAGTATCATCCCCTACAGTAAAGATGTGGACCTGGGAATTTTGATAAAGAACTACACACCTGAAATTATCCCGGCATTCCAGAAGGCAGGACTTCCACTTAAACACAAGTTTGGGAAGGTGAATAAAATGTATTCTTTGTGTTTTAAAATTTGTAATGATCTATAAATCGATGCAAAATTAGCCTAGACGGAACTTTTTCTTCTGTACATTGCAGGTGGAAGATAGCCTGGAGCTTTCCTTCCAGGCTCATGATGTGAAGCTTGATATATTCTTCTTTTATGAAGAGATGCACAACATGTGGAATGGAGGAACCCAGGCTAAAACTGGCAAGAAATTTAAGTAAGTTACTAATAGAATGTATTTGAGTTGACAGTCTTATTATAAGTTTTTTTTTTAAAAAGACTACTTTCCAAGCAGTTGATCATCTTTCTCCTATTGTATAATTTAGCTTATTAAAAAGGCACTTTTTTAGTAAGCTATATGGGGATGTGGGGTGGTGGAGAATACTTCATTTAATTTGTCCGATGAATCTTTGTGCCTATTGTGCACAATCCTTACAGGTCTACAGTTGCACTTCCAGTTTATAGAAATCTTTCATTGGATTTTTACCAATGAGTGAAATGTATTCTGTACAAGAACTAATATATAAATATAAATTTAAACAAACAAAAGCAGTAAACATAACTTGCAGAGCTCATTGTTAACTAGAATGGTATATTGTTTGGTAAGACAACATAATTACTGTTGCAGCATTAAACGTTAGCACTGCACTCTAGTGAACTGAGGGAAACAAAAAATAATTTTTCCCAAAGCAATCGAGCCACTGTACCAAAATCATGATGATTGCATCATCTGACAAATATAAAAATTACTTTATACATGACTGGTCTTATTAAAATAAACTGTATAATTTATACATTTGATAATAACCCTTTTCACATTGGGAGGACAACTCAAAGCGTTTCACAAGATTGACTGCATATTGACACTATTTGTAGGTGAACTTATGGAGGCAGGCATCCAATTACAGTCTGATCTTGTTATATTGTACTTCAGTATATGGTAGGGTTGTATATAACATGGGTGTACCTTCAACTCTTAACATTGTATTGGAAGTGTATTACACCTTCGGCTTCCTGTGCTGACTGGTTGGTTTCAACAACAACAACTTGCACATATATAGCGCCCTTCACGCAGGGTAGTGTCTCAGAGCGTTTCCTGCCTGTAGTGGATGGACTAAGAAGACCTCCCAGCTTTAGCACTCTCCCATGAACCACTTTGAACGTTTGCGAGAGCGATTACCACAAGAGCATACACAGTGCAGTGATGTCAACTGTGACATAAATCAGCAGCATGATGACACAGAAGCACTGACTGGTGTCCTATAATGTGGCCCTTTTGTAAGGCAGGTTAATAATAATAATAATAATCCTTGCATTTGATATAGCGCTTTTCACGTCGGGAGGACGTCCCAAAGCGCTTCAGAGAACACACTGTAAAGTGAATTGACTGTATATTTTTTGTGGGCGAACGCGGCAGCCAATTGCGCACAGCAATGTCCCACAAACAGTCGTAGATTGAAAATGACCAATTTATTATTGTTTTTTTTGTTTTTGGAGGGTTTATTATTAGGCTCTGTGTGGAGTAAGGAAACTTGCCCAAGGTTTCGCCCTCTGCCTGGAATTGAACTCAGGTCTCTCACTTGCAAAGCGAGTGCTCTAACCACTGAGCTACAGGACTCCACAGGTTCTCCGTTTATTGATCCAAACTATAATCCTTGCATTTTTTAAAACATTAAAACGTCATGTTATAATGGAGTTTGTCATTCTTGTGCATTCCAGATTTTACGGTAAATTAGATATTTATGTTTAAATATTTATAGTTTGAGAGGTTGGATCAGATTTTGTTTTAAAAGAGAATCCAAGGTGAACTTCCTGATGTCTGTTGCAGCCTTTGTCCGGTTTATACTGAGTAGACCATTGATAGCTAGTGTGCAGTTTCAAATCAAATTAATTTGGTTCAGTGGCCAATGATTAATAAATATGCCAGTACTGTGCAAATACTTGGATATAATCTGGGTAGATGTTTTAATGATTTTGTTAATAAGGAAATCGGAATGTTATGCCGACTCACAGGAATTCTGCTCCGGGACAATATACTTTCGGATCCAAATTTCCTTGAGCCAGCATGACTTGAGTGATGTACTTCATTCACCAGAAGGAGCCTAACCTCTGTTTCCTAATTAGGTAATCAGGTTAGAAATTCCTGTATGTATTGGGTAATCGAAACTATAAAATACTTATTTCAACTATCACTACAAGTACTGTTTGCTGATCTTTTTCATTTTGATTTGTTTTGTAGGTATATGTTTCCCAAATTTACCCACTGCTGGACTGAATTCCTAGAAATGAAAGTAGGAGTCCCGTGTGAAACGCTTGCGTATGTGGAAGCAAACTATGGCAGGAACTGGGCAATTCCTGTGACTAGTTGGGATTGGAAGACCTCGCCATCTAATGTGCACGAATATGGAGTTTGGCCTATCAGTGAGTGGGATGATGTTATCCAGGTGTACTGAGAATTGATGGAATTGAAAAGGCAAAATGGGAAATCCTAACACAACTAATGCTCAATTATATGGAGGGAGAAAACTGTGTCTAACGTACACTACAGTAATAACGTAATAATCACTTTTTTTAAAAAAACTTGGTCACTCAATCCACGACTGTTTGTGGGACACTGCTGTGCTGCCACGTTTCACCCACAAAACATACAGTCAATTCACTTTACAGTATATTCTGTGAAGCTCTTTGAGACACGATAAAGTGCAATATTGAATGCAAGGATTATTATTACAACTCTGGATACAAAATATAATATTTCATAATGGACGTGATGCGATAATTCACATTCATTCCATTCAGTTGTAAATCGTTGCATTTTCTGTCCATTCTTAATGACTGGAAATGAAACTTTTTAACACCCCCAGACTTCAGCATAGTGGTTTCTCTCCCTCCCCCTACTCCAACATTAACATTGGTCCTGGAAACTTTTCTGTTCCATTATTGTTTCTGATCATAGAGATCAATGTTTGAGTGCAGCTAAAATTAATTGACTTGATTGGTAATCTGTGTAGCAGCACTCGATGTTTGCCTACAGGATTTTTAAAAATATTGGTCCTGCTTAAAAATATCCAAGTTAGTGAAGGAATTTCTGATCTTGACAAAAAAGAAATTGTTCTTTTGAGCAAACTATATGCTGAAGTTGGTGTGTGTATATGATCAGTTCAATAACCAGTCTTTTGAACTGTTGATGGAAAAATGGGGCATTTCATAATAAATTCTACATTTCATAACACATTTGATGTGATATGGGATGAAAATAGATTTAATTATTATAAGGCGAACGAGAGATGCACCTCAACTAAATGAGGAAGATTGAGAAGTTTAAATGAGTTTTCAGGTTTCATAATATTGAACATTGAATTAAAAAGTGTTTTGACATGTAGAGCCTTTCTATGTGAATAGTTAACAGCTGTATGGTTGTCTATAGTATTAAACCTACCTGTTATTTTGCAAAAAAAAATTAACTAATAGTTTGTGCACTGACCTTTGCCAAAACCCAAAATGGTGTAAAGTCAAACTGTATTCTAAAGTAAATGCATGTTTAAAATGACCAGTTTGCCAGTATAAGACAATTAGATATGTTGAAAATAGTCGCGAATGTGATGTGCAAACAGTACTGTAATATTTGATTGTGGATCTAGATGATGTGGTGTCCCTGTGTTTATTGGATAGAATTCCACACCAGATTGTACATACAGTTTTTAAGATTGCAACTTTTATTCTGAGCCATACTTTCCCCAGTTGGTGAGAAAAGGTCCGTAGAGGCTTGCAAAATGAAATCTATATTTTTGATCTGTATGACCGTCTCAGTCCACCAATGGCCAGAGAAGGTGATGGTTTGAGTTGTTTTATAATGCCAGCTGGGGTATACCTATCTGTGCAAGCATCGATTTTAAAAAAATCTCAATAGTTGGCAGTGGATCTTTGCCCCATTAGTTTACAGTTTACATTCAAGGTCATGGCTGCCATCAGTGCCAATGCTATAAAGTGAATGCAACGTTAAGACTACTGAATGGTACTCCAAATTATAATGCTTATTTCTTAAGTTTTTTTAAAAAATATTCTTGTCTTACGAAAATCTACAGGACATCTCAAGTAGAGTGATGAGACTTTAGAGAATGAAAACAACTTCTGAATGCAAATGCTACGTACAATAGTGCACAGCCATGTTAACACATTATGCTAAAAGAAGGAATCCATCCAATTAGGGATTCTATCCTGGTTTATGGTATTTTGATCTTTAACTTTGCGTCTTACCAATGAGCTGCCAAAGCTTTTATTTATTTAATACTTCACCTTTAGATTTGCTGCCAAAATCACAGGGACTTGATGTCACACGTGCAGTATAAATGCAGCATTAGTTTCCAGAAGTTTACATACTTGATCTGGCAATATAGATAATTCTTCTATTCTCAGCTGTCATCTTGAAGCTTCTGCAGATGGTATTAAAAATTGAGAACAGACTAATACTGCAATGGTTTGCTAGTACAGTATATTTAGTTTCTGCATTGCTATTTTATGAATTCCCAAATGAAACCGGGGATCAACCTTTATCTTTTGGCCCAGTAAACAAGTACACATAACAGGATGGTTTAATTTAATCTGTTTTGCTGCATTAACTGATCTGAACTGATGGTAATGGCACTCTCTGAAATTGACACTATCCCTGAGATAGGGAGAGAAAAAGTAAATCAGGATTCTAGTTCCTGGCTGCTATCCAGTGAATCGTGTTGGGTAGTACTGTATAAGCGTATGGATTTTGGGTCAGAATTTGATCTGCCTCTTTTATTATCTCTTCAAATATTTGCTAAAAATTGTAGTTTAGGTTTGTGTATGAATAAAGTCCACTTTGATGAGGTAATGGAGCACTGCTAATTTCTGTACAATAGTATCCCAATGTGAGTTGATCCTTTCAGGAAAGAAGAGGTTCAAACTGGGGAAAAAAAGCAAACAGAATAAATTCTTCACCTTTGTTTTATGGTATGTTCAGGTACATTTGCCTTTTATTCTTGTACATTTATCCAGTTTTCTTTACCTGACCTGCCACTTGGTGCTAGGAGGTACAGATGCACAATCTGATCCCAGGCTGCCACCTTTATTGAAATGTGCTGAAAGAAGGTGCCAGAGATTACCCAGGTGTGTCATAGAAACAGAAAGAAGTTTACAGCACAGAAAAAGGTCACACAGCCCATAGTGTTTGTGTAGCCAAACATGCACTCTAGTCCTAGCTTCCCCTTTGGAGCTAACTATTCTAATCCCTTTCCCAGAATTCTATCCTTTAATATTATTTTCCTTCAGGTCTTTATCCATTTCGCTCACAAAATACTCAGTCAATTCAATTTACATTATATTCTGTGAAGCGCTTTGAAACATGATAAGATACTATATCAAATGTAAGGCTTATTGTTATTATATAATTCCCTTTTAAATTCTGTAATTCAGCTTCAACAACCAATTATGGTAAGTCATTCCAAAATCCAGCAAGGCTTGCCATGCTCAAAACTTATATCCATTCCTGGTCTGTGCTAAACAAAGTCTCCCCTTTAATCTAATACCATTCCAGGAGGAGAGCTAAGGTTTAGCTTATTGATTTATATTGTTAATTTTTTTAACATTCTGTGCTTCGATATTTCTAAATACATAAAAGTAAAATACAGACTGACCTCGGTAATAACAAACCTGGGAACTGGGGGGAATCGTTATATCCAGGTTCTCGCTATAAGAGGTTCACAAGAAATCTGTGATTAGCTGCTCAGCACCCCCACCATTTTGACTTGATTGCAGATCGTAACATCAGCGACTGCACTGCTTTAATAATCGCTCTATCGGGGTAAGAATCAATAGGAAATATCGTGTCTCAATATCGAGTTCATTATAACCAGAGGGATCGTAATAAATGGGTATTGTCAAACCGAGGTCAGCCTGTATAGTGTATTTACTTTATTGAGATGATTGTGAAGATACTGATGTTTTTTTCCAAAGATGAAATAGAATTACTTTTGATCACCTACCTGTTAGGCCCTCACTTGCAATCTACTGAAGCAGTTTCAACAAGATTGCCAAGTCGGTGTGTTGTAAATCTGTAAAATTGCAATTGGTACTTCTGAATAATCTTCACAGTTGCTAGTTATTCTATCAGTGAAACTACTTTCTATGACATAACCATTCCGCAGCAGTCTTATCGGTAAAAGCACTACCCAAATCATCATTAAGGGATATAAACCAGAAAGCTACAGGTTAAATCCCTGAGATCTGCCTGAATTAGCTGATCTAACCTGAACAGTATTTGGGAACTTTTTAATCTCAACATTCTTTCAATAAGTAATGCCGCCATCGGGCAAACCTGCTTCCAAACTAGATTTTTAGTTGGAGAGACGTTAGTCTTTATCCATTTACTTCAGAATTTCTAAATTAAGAAATGCAACAGAGTTCACTCCAATCTTCTGTACATAAGCTCCATTAAGTTATTTTTTTTAAATCATAACTAACATAGATTTTATTGTTTACCAGTTATGAATAGTTTAATTTTGTAACCTTGTTTATTGGGATCAGTATTTATTGTCCAAATTCAGTATTATAATAATAATATTACTACTAATAATAATATTATCATTATAACTTAATTTTACTTTGTCCCCCTTAAACAGTATCATACTGTAGATCTTTATTATTTTTAGAGGTGGTTGAGAATGTGATGGACCTGTTTCCCAATGGGCTAGTAATCTTTACAATGTAGAACATGCACTTTTAAATCCATTGACCCACTTGTTCTGTCAGTTAAGTGTCTTATTCCGATAGAAAACCATCACTCTGTTTAACAGTCTCTGTATCAAACTACTGAGAGTCACACATATCCATTTATATGAGTATGGAATCATATTCCATCCTACTTGCCTAATCCTGGAGAGCTTAGATGCAGGTTGGTAAGAGTCAGAGCTTGGGGCCCTCTGAATGTCACTGGAGTACTGCTGGAGTTTAACCAGCTGAAGCTGCAGCTTGCCACAGCAAATATTGTCAAGTTTCCCACTGTGTTGTGCAGTGAGAATCGCCCTACCTATTAGGACATTGGCTTACAGGTGAATAGAAGCCAACTGAGAAGTATCCCTGCTCCCAGTGACTGGGCTATTCCTCCAAATTCTGCTAACAGGACAGGCTGGCTGGTCTGTCATTAGCAGTGCCTTGGAATACTGTGTCCTGTCTGGCTCAGATGTTGTGACCGTTACATTGGATCAACTTGATTCTGATTTAAGGCACATCACCTTGGAGACAACTCAGTCCCAAACAGTCCCTTTCCATTTTTCTCCCCCCCCCCCCCCCCCACCACACACACACACACACACACACATTGTTTACACTGTTTATTTTGAGTCTGAAACACATTTGTTTCTAAAAATGAACAGTTAGTGTGGAATTCTCCAGACAAAGTACACATGAATAGTATTTTAACATTTGTTCAAAATCTAATATTAAACTGGTGATGGAGTCACAAAGAAAATTTACGGTATGATACTGAATGAATTAACAAGATGGCAGTATATGAGCTAACTGACTTGAATGTGTAATGTAAATGTAATATTACAGC